AAAAAAAAAAAAAAAGAAAAAAAAGGGGTGGAGGAGAAAAAAAAAATTCAACGCACTTTTGATGATAGCATTTTTGTTGGTAGTGTTCGTTCAGTTTGTCTTCTTTGCTACCGTCTTCGGTGGTCAGTTTAAATAGTTGCTGCTGTTTATTTTCGTATTTTTATAGAATATTGAGGTCTGTAGTCCCGTAGATACATCTGATCTGCGGCAATCACTGTCGTCGTTGTCGCCGATATCGTCGTCAACATAACGACAACAACATCACCATCATCATCATCTTCATCATCAACATCATCATCATCATCATCATCGTCATCATCATCATCATAGTTATCGTCGTCATTGTCGTCGTCAAACAGACTTTTGTTGCTGTTTCTTACAGTTTTTGTCAACTGTATAAGTGGAAGTGTAAGAGCGGTGAGAAAATGTGCAAAACTGTTCTTATGACCAGTAAACATATGCAGGCAAAAATAGCTTGATGTAAAGCGGAAAAAAAAAAAGTAGGAAAAAAAAAAGGATTAAATACTTTTTTAACATTTTCTGTTTGTATTTTAGCTGTGAATAAATATCTTCGTTGAATTGCTGTAGTTTTTTTTTGGATGGGGGGAGGGGGGGGGTTGTTCCTATTGCTGCTGCGGTTGCGGTTGCTGTTGCCATCGTCGATGTTTTTGAATTGTTGGAAGGAAATGTGAACGAACAAATTGACGATTTTTTGCTCCTTCCTTTTCAACTAACCATATCGTTGCCGTAGAAGGATGAGAGACGGAAAGAAAGAAAAAAACTGTTGTTAACTATTTTGCTTTAAATGGTAAGAACTTTTGATGGTTAAAAAAAAAAATTTGGGTAAGAAGAAAAATGAATTATAAACAGAAATAAATAATTGTAGTCGATTTAAAATTCAAATAAGATAAACTGATTAATTATATAAGTAGATTATTCGTTTCTTTTTTTCTTCTTCTTTTTGATATAACTGTTGCACAGTTGTATTTGTAATCTAAATTTTTTAGCAAACTATTTCTTGTCAATTCATATATTTGTCGAGGTATTTTTTTTTTTTTGTGCGTTTTTCTATCAGTTTTATTTCATTTTTATTTTTTATTTTCAATAAAAGGGAAATGCTTTTTAGGCAAATAAATCTGTTAAGTTGTTGTTGGTAGTTCAGCATTTACACCACTAAGTGTACCGATGTTCATCTATGTTCGTTGCTGTTGGTATTTGTAATTGATACTGTTTTCTTTTTCAATTTTTTTTTTTAAAAGAAATTTTTCCCATATTTTATAGAACTTTTGTAAAAAAAACGTAAAAAAATTTTATTTTTTAAAATCAATTTATTTTTTGTTTTATTATTGAAAAAATTTTGTATATTTTGACTATGTCATCTTTCATTAGACAACCAAACGGTGGCGGTACTTAATTGATGTTGGAGAATATTCAGTTTTTCTTTTTTTTGGTTTCGTTTTTGCGCTTTACCCATTAATGTGTAGAAATGGATTTTTTTTTTTTTTGGATAACGGTGATCTGTTTTATATATATGTACAGTACTGATGGGTTATCCTAATTTTGGGTTATAAGAGCAGTTTTGTGTTACCATTTTGTTCCATGATATGAGCCAGTCTTTAAAAATATTTGGCGATCTACTTTTAGTAATGCTAAACATCATTAAGACCAAAGGCAGGGGAGAAAGCAACGAAGATAAAAATGAAGAAAAAAAAAAATCTAAACAGAGAAGAAAGAGTTTGGGAAGAAAGAGAATTTGTACGATCTTTTGTGCTAATAAGAGGTCTTCATCTATCAATTTGTGACAATTTTTTTTCCTTGTGTTTCTATTTTAATTATTACTACAATTTTTTTTCTGTTTATTGCGATTCTGTGCTTAGAAACTGTCGTGATGATGATGATGATGATGGTTATGATGATGATGACGGTGATAATGGCAGAGATAACCTGTAAAAATTGAACTTTAGCTTTATGTATTAGAATGCTGGTTGAGAAACCACAAACAACCGATAGAGTCTAAAAGCCACTGAATTTTTGATGACTACATTTCAGCACGTATCAATGGCTTGCATTTAAGTACATTTGATATCTGTTCCTTTTCGGCATCTGCTTTAGCAAGATTGAATGTGTACAGTTTTGAAGGAAGCAGATTTTTTTTTTATCAAAAATCTTCAATTCTTAGTTCTGTTTGTTCAGAACAACGATAATAGTGATACAGGAGAGACCTTCTGGTTTACACAACTTAATCGCCGTAACATTGTATCTGATATATGACGGTGCTGCTGCTGTTGCTGACCCTCGTCGGTTGATGTTGAATTGTTTTGTCATCAACCAATCTTTCCTAATTAATCTTTCCTCTTACTACCGACATATTATTACTTTATTTTATTCTATCACTTTAGTTTTTTCTGATCAATTTATTTTGACTTATTGCCTTACAAAAAGAGACAAAAATTAAGTTTCTAAAAAAAGAAAGGGAAAAAAAACCAATCTGATAGAAGATTTTATTCAAAAAGTATTCCTGGCAACATACTGTTGCTTTATCAGTGTTGAATGTTTTTACTTTTTTGATATATTTTATCATTTAAATATGCACCTATTGTATTTTTAGGTTTAATTTTTATTCTTAATAGTTGATGTTTTTTTTTGCACATTAACAGCTGGTTGATTTTCCATTAAGGATCTGTTGATGAGGTTCAAATATATTTTGTAAATTCTTTATTAATTCTTTCTAATTTACATAAATCTGCTTTATTTTTTGATTTGTTTTATTTTATTTCGTTTTTGTTTTGTTTTGTCTTTTTTTTTTTCTTTTTTTTTCGAGCACTTATAAAGTTAAAACGAACTGAACTGTTGTTCAGTTTTCGTTTGACAAACAGCGATCCACTAAAGTCGTTCTTCAAAATGACAATTAAGTGAGCAAAAAAAAAAGAAGCATCACCAAATTTTTGCAGCAAAATTTTTGGTTTTTATATGTGTTTAATGAATCAAATCAAAAAATCATTAATTGTATCATTAAGTTTGAGAGAAAAAAAAAAAAAACTAAATTTATAATTTATTGGCTAAAGTTTCTTATTGGTAAAGGTTTTTTTTTCACCCGTTTTTGATGTATGGTTTTTTTTTTCTGTTTTCTTTTTGCGAATAGTATATTGGTGGAAAAAAAAAAAAAAGATTTATGGTTTATAGAATCTGATAGACGATAGATTCACTATGGTAACACAAATTGATGCTGTTGTTGCCAAAAAAAAACAAAAAAAGGGTTTTTTTTTTCACATTGTAATTTCGTATCATCAACTGGATAGAAAAAAAAAACTGAACAGGTCATTGGTGTATTGTACATTTTGACCAAAATTCTGATTTGAATAATTGTAACAATAAAGTTTGATTTTTTTTTACAAATAATTGAAACATTAGCAATACTTTTAACCCCAAATATTTTGTACTGTTCAACTAATGCTTATTCACTTTGTGCCAATAGCAATAGATCCGGTCTAAAGCGCTTCTGTAAAATAGTGCTTACTAAGTTTCACTCATTTTTTTTTCTTGATTATTTAAATAACATTTTTTTTTTGTTGTACCAAAAATATCAATCTGTAAAAATATCTGTTGTTGAAAAATCTTTCCTAATGCTATCTTCTATGCCATTCACCGTTTAATATCCTGAATTAAAGCTTTTTCAAAAATGGGATAAAGGAAGTATCCTGAATTGAAGCTTTTTTAAAAAGTAGGATAAAGAAAGTATCCTGCATTGAAGCTGTTTCAAAAGTAGGATAAAGAAGGAAAGAAAAAAGAAAAAAACGACGGATGAAAAAGCACTTCAATCACCGCTGAATTGTTAATTGTTTAGTGTGGTTAAAAAGAGAACAGAAAGCTGAAAATAAAGTTTATTTTGTAGTATTTTTTTTATTCTCGATTGTAATAGCAGCAAGAAAAAATTTAAATAAAAAGTAATGTTGAGAAGGGTGAAAGAAAGATTGGAGGAGAAATAATAAGAAAGAGGTTGGTTAATGTGGCGCATTATTTGCAGTAATTGATAATATCCCCACTTTTAGTATTTAGTTCTAATAAAAAAAAAAAGAAAGCAGTCTAGGATAGTTTAGAAATATTTTAAATAAGTGTTCTTTTTTTTTTCTCAACATTATATATTTCCTTTTATTAGATGTGAACAAAACTTAGGTGGGAGCAGAATGAACTGTAACGTTTCTTAGCAGTACGATGAGTGATGAAAATAGACAGTTTACCCAAACGGAGGCAGTATCATCGATAGACGAAACCTTTGTTTTTTTTCGACAGTTTTCATCAGTAATTTTTTTGACTAAATGTATTTCAACTGTTGCAATGTTTTTGTTCTTCTTTCTGTTTACTGCAAATTATTTTTGCCCATTTATTTCTTCTATGAAATGCATTTTAACCTACTAAAAAAAATTAAGAAATCAAATTCATCTTTTTTTTTTTTTT